GAAACACTTAATGCATAATATAATTTCAGATAGTGAATAGTGCTGCAAAGAAAAAGAAAAGCAGGCAAGGAGAGAGAGAGGGAGGGAGGCCTGACGGAGGAGGCCTTTCTGTGTGGGTGTCATGGAAAATTTAGGATTTCCTGGGATGCCTGGGTGGTTCAGTTGGTTAAGCGTCTACCTTCGGCTCAGGTCATGATCCTGGGGTCCTGGGATCGAGTCCTGCATCGGGCTCCCTGCTCCTCGGGAGGCCTGCTGCTCCCCGTGCTTGTGCGCTCTTTCTCTCTCTCTCTCTGTCAAATAAGTGAATAAAATCTTTAAATAAATATTTATTGGAAGGGAGGAAGTGAGGAAGGGAGGGAGAAGAAGGGAGGGAAGGAAGAGCCAACCCAGAGGCTGTCCCATGATGTCCTGTGAGACCTCTGTCCAAGTGAAAACTCTAGACCACATGGCCCCCAGGATGACCCCTATCACCTCTCTGTCTCCCAGGGTTGGTTCAGAGGGTCCTGACGAAGATCCCATAGAGATCTCACTCTGCTAAGAAGGTGTACTAATTTTTACTTACTTTGTCAAGCCAGGTGGGTTTTTCTGGTCCCCCATGCCCCACCCAGCACATGTGTGGCTAGCTGTAAGGACCAGGTGGGTGTTCCCAAATTTCCAACAAGAGCTCGGTGGCTGGTGTGAAAAGCAGAGAGGTCCTTTCCCGTGTTTCTGGGTTGAGCAGAGATGGGGCTTCCCCACATAAAGCTCTCCTATGACAATTTCTTTTTGTAACTGCAATTCTATTCCAGGCACAAGAATATGCCATGAGAGCCTTCAATCTAGCCAAAGAACAGCATCTCAGTGTCCATGAACAAAACACCATTGAAGAGCTACTAAGTCTTATCTCAGCTGAAGAAGCTCACCCCATTACTTAGTGACCCATGAACTCGGCATCAGGGGGCTGTTCAAGGGGCTACTGAATGTCTAATATATTCCAGCTTGCACAACTGCTTTGAGGTACTACGACTTGCTGAAGTTCCCCCCCTTTTCCCCTGGGCCTGCACATGTGGCCATGTTTTTATTCTTGCATAGAATATGTGAGGAAATGTAGAGCTTTAGGCATAGACATCAGTAAAACTGATCTTTATCATGACCTTTGCACTTGGCTTCCTGTGACTTTGTATGACTTTGAGTAATGTGCTGTCAGCTCATTAATACGGTACTTGTAATTAAACCACAAATAGTTTATCATGTTTACCAGAAGCCACCCAGTGACACATTTTGTAGGCCTTTGCCAAAGAAGGGTATGGGGGATACAGTTATATTGGAGCAAAGTTTTCCCATTCTACTGGAATTAAGTTAGCATTAATGTGAGGTAGATTGTGATTTAAATGTCCATTATAGTTCTTAGAGCAATCACTAAGAAAATTACTCTGAAAAATAGTTACAAAGCGACAAAGAAATTAAAATGGTACACTAAAGGGGCGCCTGGGTGGCTCAGTCGGTTAAGCATCCGCCTTCGGCTCAGCTCATGATCCCAGGGTCCTGGGATCGAGGCTCCCTGCTCAGTGGGGAGTCTGCCTCTCCCCTGCCTCTGCTCATGCTCTCACTCTCTCTCTCTCTCTGACAAATAAATACAATTAAAAAAAAAAAAAAAGAATAACAGGTCATGAAAAACGTTTAACAAAGTAAATACTTCAAAAAAAGATAAGGAACCATTACTTCAATGACAGATCATGTCATCAATTTGATAGAAAAAGTATGTCTTTTCTGATATTCATCAATATTGATGGCAATGTGGTGGAGATAAATATTTTAATATATTTTAATATATGCCCACACAAACATACAGTTTCAGTAGCTAACAAATACTTAAATAAACACTAGCAGGCTTTAAAAGCATATGGACAAGGTTACTACTGCAACCAGGTTATAAGCCTAGAATTATATATCATAAAATTGTTGTGCTTTGCTTGCAAACCTTTGTAAGGATCGTAGATCCCCTAGAACATCTCATGAACAAGGCAGTGACAAGAGGCCATTCCAAGTTCAAGCGTCAAGTTTCACCACAAGAAACAAAAATGTACGTGGGGGATGAGGAGGATAGCAGCCCAAAGTGAGTGCTGGAGTCACAGTTTACTTTCTTCTGGTTTGAGCAAGCCGTTAGCGTGGCACACTCAGGCAAGGAGCCCTGGAAGAGGAGAGGGTCTGTGAAGGGAGAAGAGTGTGCAGACTGGGGCAGGGCGAGTTTGAGGAACTGGTGAGACATTCCAGGAGAGATGAAAAGGGCGTGCAATCTGGCATCAAGAAAAGAAGCCTAGGTTCCAGCGAGAAATTTGAGAGTACCACGCAGAACACCAGGGAAATAGAGGAGATCACCTGCGGAAGAAAAGAGAGACAAGGAAATGCCCCCAAACCAAAGGAACCCAGCAGAGGAAGCTGCAATAATTTCAGATTTCTCCAGACTGTTCTTGCAAAAAAATCCCCTTGTACCTTTCACCCAGATCCCCCAAATGTTAACATTTTATCACATTTGCTTTATCATTTTTCCTCTCTATATATTCACTGTTTTCCAAACCACTGGAAAGTAAGTTGCAGACCTGATGCCCCTTTATCCCCCAACACTGAATGTGTATTTTCCTAAAACAAGGACATGCTCTTACATGTGCTCATCAGTACAATCATCAAAATCAGGAAATTAACATGGATATGACACTATCAGATAATAAAAGAGACCTCATTCCAGATTTCACCAGTTGTCTTCACGTTCTTCACGTCTTCATGTCTTCACCAATTGTCTTCATGTCCTTACTTAAAATCTCTAAGCAGGCGGGGCATCAGCTGCCCCATGTCCCTCGTCAGGGCTGTGCCCTCAGAGGTGACACAATGTCAGATGTTCCGTCCTGTATCCCAGGAGGAACGCAACCCAAATTTTCTAACACACGAAGAGGCCCAGGCTCTTTGGGAGATCTGAAGAGCTGTGATTCCCCGAGGCTGGTGAAAGAGGGAACCCGCAGCCGAGTGGGCGCCTCCGTGACAGCCGGGCGAGGCCAGCAGCTGGGAGGCTGCGTGGGTCTCGGGGGACAACCACGGGAGCCTGGGAAATAGAAGGGGGCTTCGTCAGCTTGTTCCTCGAGGAGAGGAAATCCCAAGATCCAACAGCTTGGGAAGGTGTCTCTAGCCAGCGGGGGGCCCTCCAGTAGTGTGTCCGCTGTGGGCACGGTTTGTGCCGGAGCCAAAGTCAGGAGGGCGGGGAAACCGTCACCACCCTTTCCCAGGCACCTCCTGCCCCATTGAATACGTTGGCCCAGAGAGCAGCCAGATGGAGTTCTTTGTGAGACAACTAGGGGAATTTGACATAGAATGGGAAGTAGATGGTACCAAGGGATTATTGTTAGTTTTTTTAGATGTGGTAAAGGCATAAGGAAGTGTCCTCTTTTAAAAAAGATACATGCTGGGGCGCCTGGGTGGCTCAGTCGGTGAAGCATTGGACTCTTGATCTCAGCTCAGGTCTTGATCTCAGGGTTGTGAGTTCAAGGCCTGCATTGGACACTGAGTGTGGAGCCTACTTAAAAAATTAAAAAAAAGAAGATGCACACTCTTGGAGAATGCAGGGGAGGAAAAGATGTGGTGTGTGGGATTTTTTTAAATGCATAAAGAAAATAAATGAGTAGATGCAGTAAAAATAGAAAATTTTGGTAATTTATTTTTTTTTAAGATTTTATTTATTTATTTGATAGAGAGAGACACAGCGAGAGAGGGAACATAAGCAGGGGGAGTGGGAGAGGGAGAAGCAGGCTTCCCGCTGAGCAGGGAGCCCGATGCAGGACTCGATCCCAGGACCCTGGGATCATGACCTGGCTGAAGGCAGACGCTTAATGACTGAGCCACCCAGGCACCCCAAGAATTTTGGCAATTTAAAATCTGAGTGGTTTACTAAACTATTTTCTCTACTTTTGTGTCCTTTGAAGGTTTTCACATAAAATGAAAAGAATAAGGGCACCTGGGCAGCTCAGTTGGCTGGGCGTCTGCCTTTGGCTCAGGTCATGATCCCAAGGTCCCGGGATCAAGCCCCACATTGGGCTCCCTGCTCAGCGGGGAGTCTGCTTCTCCCTCTGACACTCCTCCCTCTCATGCTATCCTTCTCTCTCCCTCTCAATAAATAAAATCTTTTAAAAAATAAATAAATAGGGCGCCTGGGTGGCTCAGTCGGTTAAGCGACTGCCTTCGGCTCGGGTCATGATCCTGGAGTCCCTGGATGGAGTCCCGCATCGGGCTCCCTGCTCGGCGGGGAGTCTGCTTCTCCCTCTGACCCTCCCCACTCTCATGTGCTCTCTCTCTCTCGTTCTCTCTGTCTCAAATAAATAAATAAAAATATATATATATAAAAAATAAATAAATAAAATAAAATTTTTAAAAAAGAATAAAAAGAGACATCGAAGGACATACGAGTGGTTTGGGGAACAGCCTTAGTTCAAGGGTCTCAGGCCTGGTGCCGACCAGAGTGAGTTGCGAAAGGTCTTATCACTGGTCCCAGGAAGGCCTGTGAAGTCTCATGCAAACACACAAGTCCCAGGGGCGCAGCCTGACCCGGGAGCCTCCTTCAGGTGGGTCCACAGATTCTTTCCGTCCCCTGGGGCCGTACTGCACCACACAGTCATTGTTAATGGCTTCTTGCTCTCACTTGCTCTTTGAATCTCAATTCACATGTCAGCCCAGGAGAGCTCATGGAGCAGGCCCATGACAAGCTCATACCATATGCATTAGTATTTTCCTCCATCATCTTGACAGTTGAGAGCTGGCAATATTACAATTCAGACGACACTCTGCGTTTGAAAGGAAAATTATGGTTTTTCAGAATGCAGCTGGTGTGCGAATGAATAGGATAAAGTATCTGTGAAGCTTTTCCCTCATTTTATGATATGAAAATAATAAAATGTAGCTTCAGCATGTGGTCCTTACTTAAAAAGAACAACCAAAAGGCACAGAGTTGGGGGAACAAAGGCAAACAAAGCATCTTGTCCCACAGTAATAATTTTAATAAAAAGCAAAGACAGCAAAACAATCATTTATAAATGATTTCTTCCCTGTTGGAGAAGTTAACACTGTTATTGCTGTAGAAACCACTTGGAAATGAGCTCTCTCAGCGCCTAGTTAAGATATATTCCTTGTAGCACATTTTCAGCTTGCCGGTTAGGCAGGGGAAACGACAATTCCCTTTCCTGGAGGGGAACTGAGCCGAAGTACCCGCCCGCGGTGAGACAGAACTCACAAATCACTCCAGAAGTTTAGGAGCAAACGAAACACATTTCTCACGCGTGGAAAACAGAGGCAAGACAAAACGAGCGGAGAAGCAGCGTTTTCAGGCGTTTTTCTTGGCCACTTCTGCACATTCTACCAGGACACCTGCTGCAAGAAATCCATCACCCAGGCCAACCTCCCCGGAACGAGGTGTTTCAATGCTCATGTGGCTCCATGTCTTTCTCGGTCCCCAAGTAGCAGTGGGGTGCTGCTAAATGTTTTGCAACCAGCCCTCCAGGGGTAGAAACTTGATATGTGGCATCTGCCCATCTCGGGGGCTGGGGGGGTAAGATATCCTACCAGGGCTGATGTCAAGTCGCCAACGTGATGTCACCGAACGGTGGCGTTTGCAGAGACTCGCAGCAACACGCCCTTCATCTCTTCATCGCAGGGCGTTTCCGACAGCGTAACCTCGAGAGCATGGATATTAGAAAAATGTAGTAAAATAATTGGGAAGTGATAAGTTTTGAGTATTTAATACCTATATTTTTAACTTTATTTTTTGTAATATACTTTCATTATAGGTCGGTATCATTTCTTTTTTTTTTTTTTTAAATGATGGCTGTGTTTAAGAGCCAGCTCACTAAATTCCTGCAGATGCTCATGATCCCCTCCCCTGGGCCAGTGCGAGCGGGTTCCAGCACCCCACTGACATGGGGGCACCCCTTCCAGGGGTGATAACACCAAACCAGCCCCCTGCCGAATCCCGTCTTCACAGAGACCTCTGTTGGTTCTGCGGAGGGATTGAGAGCCCTGCTCCCCTTACAGGAGATGAGCATTCTTTCCAGACAGGAGATTCTGGGAGCCTCCCTCAGGACAGGTGCAGGACAGCAGGAAAATGAGCCATTTGACTGGCTACTTCCATCTGATCTCAGGGCTGTTGGCCCCTCCAAGTCCAGATGGTGCTGTTGGGCTATCGGAGCTCCCTGCACAGCCCTGGCCTCCTGCACTCCCTTCACCCTCTGTTTGACAGATTACATGCAAATCCCTGGCACCTCCTCCTTCTATCTGATGCAAAGCCAGCCAACCTCATGCAGGAAAAACCAGGTGCTAAATCGCCCAAGGTCAGGCTGCTCACCAGCTTTCCAGCCTCCCAGTCGTCCGAGGCAGCCTTTCCTTCAAAGACAACATTAAGCCAAATGCACCATCTGGATCTCACACTATAGCATCCTAGGATCTCAAGGACAGACGGAACCTTCCAATTGTGAAGCCTGGACCACGGCGTGCGCAAGCAGCCGTCAGCACTCCTCGCCCTCCCAGCCGTAAAGCTGCTGTCTGCCGGTTCTCCTCCCTTGGCCCCGAGCCACGATCACGGGCACGAGCCGCCTGTGACTGCTGACAGTGGGAAGGACGCTGCGGAAAGCTAGGCATGTGGCTCAGTGCTTCACATTCACGACTGTGTTTACTTATCACGTTTATAGGTAAAGAAACGAAGGTGTGGCAAGATGAAGCGACTCTCCCGAGGTCACATGAGCTATAGGTTTTGGAGTCAGGATTGGCACCGGGGATGTCTAACTCAAACTGGCATTATTGACATTACCGTGTTGCCTGCCACAGAGCGTGAAGACCCTGACGGGCGGGACTCCGGTTGTTGCGATGCCTGGGTAACATAGTGCGAGTCAAAAATGTATCACCTTGAGAGTTCCTCTTGAGGGAGCCATCTTTGTTTAAGAAAATGCCTTTAATAAGCCACCCATCGGGGAAGGGGAAATCTCAAAGGTAAGGGCATTGGCAGGAATCAAGTTAAGAAAAGGACTGGCTGGCGCCTGGGTGGCTCAGTTGGTTAAGCGACTGCCTTCGGCTCAGGTCATGATCCTGGAGTCCCAGGATCGAGTCCCACACCGGGCTCCCTCCTCAACGGGGAGTCTGCTTCTCCCTCTGACCCTACCCCCTCTCGTGCACTCTCTCTCTCAAATAAATAAATAAGTAAAATCTAAAAAAAAGAAGAAGAAGAAGAAAAGTACTGGCCATACTGCTGTACAGTAGAACGTAAATGGATTTGGTTTGTCCCAAGTAGGGAGACAGGTACTTGTGGGGTGTAGGTGATGGGTTCCTCAGTGGTGTATCCAAAGAACACTTTACGAAGGGCGTACCGTGTCTGCATTGCTGTAATGTCTTTGTTTCCTCCCACATCATTGAAACACACATGTGCCCACACACACTGGTGCATTTGAACTTTGTTGGGTGTGGAAATGGGAGAACTGATCTTCATGTCATTGATGGACCACAGGGAGGAGACCCCATCGTTGCTTAAAATGAGGTAGCAGAAGTCTGGTGTCAGCTGTGGTGGCCAAAATGTGAGCGCCTTAGAGATCACAGACATCCAAAGGCCCAGTTACCGGACGTGCCTGGATCTCAAGGGCTATGTGGGCCTCGGCTGACGTATGGGCCTCAAGACGGAAGAATCTGGCCTAGTGGCTGGCTGCAGGTGAATGCGCTGTGGAACTGAAGTGGGAGGACACTTTTGACTTTGTGGCTCATTGCAGTTGGAACATGTGCATCAAGCAGGATCCCCCTGAAGGAGTGCCCGATGGCAGAAGTTTGGGACCTTCAAGCCCTTGACCTCCACGGAGGCCCACAAAGGCCTCCACACATCCAAGACATTCTGCAGTGGGGAAATGCCAGCCAAGTTGGCACCAAGGGAGCCTTCAGCCAGCTCGGCAGGGGCCTTGCCCCGTCATCGACCACTGATGGTATAAGGTGGGGCTAAATGGTCTTGGCCGGTCTGAGGGCACAGGCCATATGCCAGCTTGCACCCTAGAAGTCTCGTATGTGCCTCTAGGGCTCTCATTTAAGGCCATCCAAGAGGTAAAGCCTTCAGAGCTGGCACATCAACACCACGTGGATCCAGAGCAGAGGCTCGGCGGGAGAAAGGGCAGAGGGGGAGTCCAGCATGACAGCAAGTGCTAGGCACCATGGGAAAACAGAGCCACCTCTGGCAGTATGCTAAACCAGAATGGGGACTCGGCTGCCCGCGTCCCAGCCCTGCTGCTGACTAGCTAAGTGATCTTGGCCTCTGGGATTCAGATCCTCCGTCTATAAAATGGGGGGACTGAATTGGTGTCCAGAGTGCTGTTATTCCTTTGTCCTTGAATCTGGCTTGATGGGGCGCCTGAGTGGTTCAGTTGGTTAAGCATCTGCCTCAGGCTCAGGTCATGATCCCAGGGTCCCTGCTTAGCAGGGAGTCTGCTTCTCTCTCTCCCTCTGCCCCTCCTCCCCGCTCATGCTCGCTCACTCTCGATCTCTCTCAAATAAATAAAATATTAAAAAAACAAATCTGGCCTGGTGGGTGACTTTCTCAGTGTCACCTCGGAGCCCAGTGAACACAAAATGGCACAGCGAGACTACCAAACAGGGTTGGGGAGGCCAGCACAGGGCCCACGAGAGTGCCACATGTTGGCACGGGAACCACACCCAGAGAAAGAAGCTGAAAAGCTTGAAGGAACAAAGTTGTCGTACTCAGCTGTGTGTTTTAAGAAGGGAGGGCTGCAGGGTCTGGCCAGAGACTTGGAATGGAAGCATAATATGGTTTTCGGGAACGATTCCAACAACATATTCCTGAGATGGGGGGGGAGGGGATCTTCCAAGTAAAAGCATTTTAAAGTCATGATCTGATCTCGAGTCTCAGAGAAAGTCAAAAACAGCACGAGGCTTGCTATTAGGCTGTAGCAGCAGATGGAAAAACATGAGCTTTGGGGACAGTGACAAAGATGACTGTTGTCAGGGCTCATCCCCAAACATCTGCACAGACTGACAGCAAATAGAAGCCTCACCTGCAGGTGCAAAAGAAAGTATTAAGCTGAGCTTCCCCGTTCTACTGGCTTTGGATTCACTCTGACGTGGCTCCTTAGTCCCACCTCAGAGCACTGCGGCTCCAGGCCTGCCTGCACATGGTTTTCTGCAGAAGGGCCAGCTGTTACTTGGGGGGCCCTGGAGCCCCCAGCAAGCTGCCTCCATCTCCCCTGGACTTGCATCAAGACCAGCATTCATCAGGACTTAAGGAAGTGCTGAGGCATGTCTCTCCCACTTCCCCAAGGCCGATGAGAATCCACGTAATTTATTTTCTTTATACAGAAGTTTCAAAGACCCCTACCTCTAATGAATACGTGTGCATGATTCTTTCATTTAAACAACCGCCAGAAGAGCCATTTCTTCTTCCTTCCCCCTGGAATTCCAAATTATCCCAATTTCTTATTTCTTCTGCTGAAATGTCACAAAACTATCCAAGACCTTTCTCCTTCCCTTTCCTCCTCACCCCATCCCCAGTTGTCACGGAATCCCCTCTTAGCTGGGAGCAATGAGTCTGCAATGGTGACAGGAAGAGCTTATAATCCACTTACACCATTTCATCAGATTTTAAAGACCTAAAGCCCCCAACCCACATTCTCGCAAACCCGCACCCCGCAGCAATCAGATAGCATGAAGACATTTTTCCCAAGTGCAGAATCATATATATTCTGAGTGACGGAGCTATTGGCATTCAAGTTTTGACCAGTTTCAAGATGCTACTGTCAGGTAATGGGAAGACCATATACACACACTGCAATTTATGTTACATAAGGAAGACTGTTAGTTGATGTAGGAGAGTCAGGAGTTTCAGGTTATATACGATACATCCAGAAGGCTGTGTGAACTCACCCGAGAGCCTTACTCCTTTCAGGTGGTAAGGCCTCTGAGAAGCTGCATCCTTTTTCAGGCCCCCTACCACTGTTTAGTGTGCTAATGCCAAGAATTCAAGGCCTCTTTCTTTCTTGACTCCCTCAGAGGAGGGATAATGCGAAACTTATAAAACCTGATGTGGGAGGTATTCTTCTACCACTTCCCACATGATGCACAGTCTCATTAATTAACTCACTTCAACCTCAAAGCACCCTCAAGAGGTAAACAGGCATCTCCCCTATTGGAAGAATGGAAAAACGGGAGGCAGAGCCTACCTGATTGTGCAAGGTTGTCAGCGCTTTAAGGGGAGAGCCAGAACCAGGAACTGGCTCTGTGTCCCACGTTCCTTCTAGCAGGTCTTGCGGGCAGCTGTAATGAGTGTGGCCTAGACCCATGACCAAGGCTCACAGGGCCCGTGGCGGGTATGGGAAATCTGGGGGGGGAGGGGGGCTATGCAGGGAGGCGGGAGCTGTGATCCAGGTGTGATCTAGCTTTCTCTGCTTCCAGGCTGGGCTCCGTTTCAAGCAGTGGTGCCCATGACTATAGACGTCACTAACAGCTGGAAGACGGGACCTCTTTGACAAACCTGGAAGCACCCTCTAGCTGCTCTGCTCGGGACAGGGCCTGCTAGCGTCCTTTTAGATAAAGTGGGGAGACTGGGCTTACACTGAACAGTGGGAATGAGTGCATGCAGCTTCCAGAAGGTCATCACTTGGTTCAGATGTTTACGTAGAAAGCATATGGACAATTCCAACAAGAACAGACCTAGAACTATCCTTCTAAACCCACCCTGAGTGGTAAAGATAAGGTAAATGTCTTAACCTGCATAAAGGTGAAGTAGTATCGTGTGTCAACTGTACAAGACACATTACTAGAGTTACAACGGAGTGGCATGCACCCTAGGTTCGACTGCATTTAAACTACAATTGTGTAGTACAATATCTCCATTACATGGAGCCAAACGTTTTTCAATTGTCTAAGTGTTAACTTGGTGAGATGTGCTTTTAGCCACAATATTTTAAAAGCCAATTTCTATTTAAATGTGTTGTGAAAAAATGTAATAGTTTTGACTTTATACACATTTTACATTTACAGCAGAGTAAGTACAGGAATTTAGACACCCAAATGGGTGTTGCTGCCTTCAAACTAGTCACCTTGGGAAGATGTATGTTTAGTCAGTGAAGCTGACCTTGACTCAGACTATTTCTAGAGCCTTCCTTGGAAACTGTCCACTTGTAAGCTTCCTCATTGTTGTCCTTTGTGGGTAGATTTATGTTTTGAGGGATGATTTTTTATTTTTTATTTTTTAAAGCCAAAGAGCATTAGAAGATAAGTCTGATAGATAAAAATGGGTGATGGAGCTTGGGACTACCTGTGGGGAGGAGTGGTATAAAAACTGAAGTCTGACTATAAGGCTGTGAGGCCTCTTTCCTTGCATGGCTTCAGAGATAATTCCAAAGAGGAATTCTGTCTGTTCTCGGCACATGCAGTATCACAGCTCAAGAGTACGGTCTCCCAAGGAAATAACACAGATTATGGTAACTCTTGAGTGCTGATGTTTTAGTGTATTTGGTTAAAAAGGGAGCCTTGCTCATTCTCATCATACTTCATATAAGCAGAAACGGAAAACTCCATCTCCATGAATTCACCCAAGGGAAGGATCATCATCTACTGCTTAAAGAGTTAAAATAAAAAGCACTTGGTGTCCTGTCTACGTTATCCAGCCCCTCCTTCCCCTAAACGTGCAATGAGTAATTCCTGAGTCTCCCCAGTTTGGAAAAAGTGGGTAAGGACAGGTCTCTGGAACCTGGCTAGGACTAGAATGTTGAGGGGATGAGAGTGTGTTTCCGATGGCTCTAGCTACCCAGTAGGCCCACAACACCAGCGCATACAAGAACACCTTCTACAGCTAAGCAGTACACAAAGTTTTAGGAGAGAAGGGGGAAAATGATTATCTTCCAGTAGATTTCTATGATAAAAACCCACCGGCTTCTGGATGACAAATGAACAGAGTCCACTGACAAGAAAGTCCATGGCGTTCAATTCTAGTGCACACATAAGAAATAAAGTGTGTGGCCCCTAGCTCATTGAAGTGCATTTCCAGCTGAGGCCAAAGGCAGCAAAGGTGCAAGAGGCTGCTGGGGCTGGCGTTAGTTGAAGCAGGGTCTGTAAGTTCGGAGTGGCAAAGCAATTTGTAGAAAGCCCCAGCTACACAGCAGGGTATCTGCCAACCGGTGAAGTCAAATAACGATCGGTCTCAAACTTTCTACAAAGTGCTTCATCGAAAATGCTAATGAGGAAGCTCCCTAAAACACCATATCCTGAGTGTCAGAGGAATATGGCCAGGATGGTGACTGACGGGGAGCAGAGACTGAACCGCGTATTTTTCAAGCATCCCACACACACACTTAGCGAAGAGCCGTGTAACTGCAGTCACATTCCTTGTCTTCCGCCCCCGCCTGCCTCCGGGGCTGGCTCCCGAGTGCAGCACTTCCGGGAGGCGGTCTGAGTTCATGGGCTCTGCTGGAAACAGCCAGAAGCAGCAGCCCCCCCGGCAGCGCCTTAAAAGTCAGCCGTAGCATCCAAGTGCTTGCGGCAGACGTCGGTCTCAAGTCGATTGCTCGGGATGTTGCTCTTGGTGAGTGTTTTTATATTAGTCTCTGTAAAAACCACAAAGCTAAGCCGTTTTGCTTAAATCATCGTTAGAAAGAATGCTGAGTGCCCAGATGGGATTTTCTAGTTTCTGTGCAAATGAAATCACATTAGTCCGGATTTTATTCACTCAAAACTATAGGGAAGCAGTAGGATTTGGTTTCAATGCTGCCAAAAAGCAGGAATTCACTTAAGTTTTAATTCTGAAGCAATCCGGTTGTTAATGTTGTAGCCGGGTTCGGGCAGCATGGGGGGCGGGGCCCCCGTTGTGCTCACTGAGGAATCCCGGATCTCTCCCAGTTCAGGCTCACTCTCGCTAGAGGTAGACCCATTGTTGATGGCGTAGACGCTCTCCGCAACTCCCTGAGCTGAAGCGCAGCCATCTGGCTCTTTCTTCTCCCTGGGACTGGACAGTCCTGGGAGGACAGCCATCTTGCCAGTCTGCCTATTGGGCAGCAAGGACATGGTGTAGTCCGCGATGATGCCACCCACATCTAAATTGCACGCCTGGTCGAAGGCTAGGAAGCCGACGTTGGCATTTGCCTCACACACCACAAAGGAGCCATCGTCCATGATGAGGAGATCGATGCCACAGAAGTCCATGCCCAGGATGTTGGACACCTGAATGGCCAGCTGCTTGCCTTGCTCTGTCAGCGGGCACATGACGCCCACACCGCCTGCAGGGAAAGCACAGCGACATCATGGTGACCTCAGACACCAAGGGCACAACGACCCTTCAAAGAAGAGACGGAGCCACACTGAGGATGGGCAGGGAGACAGAAGATCTGCTTGGAAATCAGGACGCCCTTTGGGAAAACAATAGGGTCACTTCTTATCTAAGAGTTTTTAAAATGTTTATTTCCTCTGACCTACCACTAAGGAAATAATCTTATGTAATGGAAAAAAGCTTTAGGCACCAAGATGTTGATGGCAGGGTTATTTAAAATCCTGGAAAATCAAAATCCTGGGACATAATAGGCACTCACTCAGCATCTGTTGCTAAGTAAATGAAAAACTACAAATATCTCGCAATAGAGGAAAGCAGCATATTTTACAATCGTGAATAATAATGCTCGTAGAGCGTTGGTGATCCCATGGAAAAATACTTGGAAGGATTTAAGACTGTGCAGCATGACCACGACTGTACAAAAAGATGATGCCGGAAAGAACAATACAGAAATGTTAACAATGCCTGTCTTTAAAGGGTGGGATTAATGATAAATATCTTTTTCACTGGACTTTGCCGTGTTTTCAACATTTTCTACATGAGAATGGATTCCTTTTGTACAGAAAAGGCAAAATTAACATTACGTTGGGGCGCCTAAGTGGCTCAGTCGGTTAAGCATCGGACTCTTGATTTTGGCTCCGGTCGTGATCTCAGGGTCGTGGGACTGAGCCCGGTGCCAGGCTCCACGCTCGGCACGGAGTCTGCTTGGGATTCTCTCTCTCTGCCCCTCCCCCTACCTCTAAAAGAGTAAATAAATCTGTAAAATAAATTAATGTTATGTTTTAGGAAGAGGGAGATGGAAAGGCTTGTGAGACAAAATCCTATGCCAAAGAGAGTCTGACTGCCCTTACCTACTACAGAGTTAACCTCAGGTTTAACAGTCTCCCTGGAAAGACTTAAGACCTGTCTTCTCAGGTCCAACAGCGAATGCCTTCACCGTAACACTGCCCCTTCCCCACCTGTTAGAATGTATAAGGAAAAGGCTACAGAAGAGTTTCAGACTAGCTCACCAGGAAAAGCAACATGGGGAAATGGCAAAACCATCTGGTTCCTACCTTGTTAAAGAATGCATCTGATATGGTGACTAAAAAAGACAACATAATACCTGAGGTTCCACCTGGTGGGGCGCCATACACGAAAATGAGATGTTGAGTACTTAGCACCGTGTCAGCCTGAGCCTAGCATCTGCCCCCATCACAGCACTACATCCCAGTGTCTTGCAATGATCTGCTTTCGGGTCTTGTCCTCTGTGGGACCGTAAGCTGTCCCACAGCAGGGACTCTGCCGTTAACTGCGCTCTCATCGAGTCTGCTCGTGGCAACTGCTCGACTGGTATTAGTGAAGGAAGGACCGAGCTGGTGTCTCCACCTCTGTACTACTCACTAGCCTTGGTACACTCACAGGGCCATTTAGGATGTAACCGTGCGCATTTTTCTCTTTTCACATTACCAACATACACATTCGTTCAGTGAGGGTGACAACAGCTTTCTGTGATGGGGACAAGAATTTATATCCCTCCTGGGACATCTCCACTCACCGTAACAGAAAACAAGATAAACAACAGGTTCATGGGACGGGGTTATGCATTTGATCCAAATATAAACTGCAGCTTTCTAATTATATCATACATATTAAGAAAAACACAGTCTTCAATTACAATGCAAAAGCAGAATACACTCTATCTTCTTTCATTGCCTCAGTGTAGACGCTCTTTATTTCTTGCCTTCCGAACTCCTCTGCCTCCTGTCTCATGCCTTCAATCCCTCCTCTACCCACGTGTCAGTTCTTCTCAAACATGGATCCTCATGTCACTCCCTGGCTTAAACCTGGCTGCTGAGTCCCAACACCTCCAGACAGGGTTCAATCTCAGTGTCCTGATACCCAGGCCTGACCTCTGTCACAGCACCCACACCAGTCTGACCCTTTCCTGGGCTGCTTGCGGTGACAGGACAGGGCTTGTTTCTAATTCTTATCTGTGATCCTGGAGCCCAGCAGAGGATTTGACAAGATAGGAGGGATCGATCCACATTTACTGAAGGGGTGCAAACATCCTAATGAAAAACCCCTAGTGAAAAAATGGACTGTGAGCTCTTATACCTTACCGAGAGAGCAGTTGCTTTGCATCCGTCCATCTGTGGAGCAGCGAAGCATAGAGCCTATCACCCGGCCCCCTACCACCACCACCCGGATATCTTTGCCGTGTGACTCCTTCACATACTTCTGGAACAGGTAGGGCACATCATGGCGGATCAGATGGCAGATGTCTGAGAGGTGATGTTTATCTCTTGCAAGAAAAACAGCTTTTCCTTTAAGAAGAAAGACAAAGAGCAGGAGGAGTGGTTAAGAGAAGCCTTCGAGCTGAGTCCTTGCCCTCCCATCTCCCTGTCCCATACAGTTGTCGGTTCTTTCTGAACTTGCCTTACCTCGGCCCCTTCTGTTTCTCTGACCAAACTCTTGCTTCTTATCAAATGGCCGCCGAACCTTATTTTCTCTTGGTTTTACTCACGCCCCTCTCCCTCTACCACAACTCTTTTTTCAGGATGGAATAATAATGTATTCCAGAAACACAGAGGAGAGGCCAAAATAAAATCCTAAGGATCTAGTCAATTCAGTTCCAAAAGCAGTCAGCATCTCCTATCACCCCAGGATGCTGATTAGGCCCAGTCCATCTCTAACCCACTTTGTTAATCCCCCAAACCTCACACTGGGCTCGAAGTACAAAGCAGGTGTCAAATCCATGTTTACAGAACATAATTAACTGAACACACTTTAGAGGAATTCCAAGGCTAGGTAGAGAGAGACCCACAAAAGGTAACTACGATACAGCATGATAGAGCATTAGGAGAGGTATACGCAAATGATATGGGAGTTCAAAGAGGGAGCCCCTGAAAGACTCCCTCCTCCTTTTAAACCTAAGAAACTTATTATCTGGCTATATCTGTTTAATTCTAAAAGGAATGATCTATAGTTCTATTGCTCTCTAGGGAAAGCATTCCTTCTTGACTCCAAATCCTTCCTTTTTGGCTTGAATCACCAGTGCTTTTATAATTATTTAGCCTCTGTTTTTCCATTTGCATATTAGCTGACAGATCTGAGCAGGAGTTCCTGATGAGTTCGCTCTGCAAATCTGACATGAGCACACCCAGTCTGAGCCTTCTTGTTAGCAAATTTGGAACAAAGAGATGGTTTTCCTAAGATTTGTGTCACCACATTATAAGGAGTGGGACCCTTCTGAAGTCTTAATAAAAAGAGTGATGGGTATCAGCCCCTAGTGGCATAGAAGACTGAGAAGTAACCCCCCAACACATGTCTCCATCACTGAACATTTGGCACCAGGAGACCTGGCATCTGACCACAGATGGCTGGGATTCAAGTATAGGCACTGGGGGTTCCCTGGATATTAGGCAGGATTTTCAGCAGAGATGGGGGCTCAATACAGGGACTTGGTTCCTTGGTTCCTGGCAGGTGGAAGGTTCTAATATGGGGCTTAGTCTGCAATTACTAAAGGAGCTACAGTGTTCAGGCACAGAGGAAAAAGGGGGAGGGGGATCATCTGCCCTGTGTGCCAAACACCTTGTTTTTTTATTATTTCATTTACACTTCATATTAGCCCTATGAAGCCATTAGGACAGAATAGTTATTTTTGTTTTACAGTAGAGGGAAATAAAGGTCTACAAGATTAGTACCTTTCTCAAGGGCACAGCCCATACCATTCCACTTCCTTCTTTAGATTCATTTCCATGTACTAGGGTCTAACTACCACTGTAATTTGTTTACTCCCCATCCATTTTCCCTAAGATACTATATGTTACACTAGCAATGAACAACCTGAAAACGAAATTAAGAACACAATCCCATTTACCAGAGTATCAAAAGGAAAAAAACATTAGGAACAAATTTAACCAAAGAAGTACGAGACTTACCACTGAAAACTACAAAACACTTTTGAGAGAAATTAAAGAGCTAAATAAATGGAAAGATGTCCCATGTTCAGGGACCAGACGGCTTCATATTGTATTAAGACAGCAACACTCCTCCAACTGATCTGCACGGTCCCCACCAAAAGTCTAACTTCCTTTTTTGCAGAAGTTGACAAGCTGATCCTAAAATTCATATGGAAAGGCAAGGATCCCAAATATCCAACACGATCTTGAAAAAAAGAATAAAGGCGGGCGCCTGGGTGGCTCAGTTGGTTAAGCGACTGCCTTC